GGATGCTCTATCCCCTTTAAAAACTGGATTTTTGGACTTCTCAAATGATGTAGTTCCTCTTAAAAATGGGTCATTTTGGAGGGTCAGTTGTCCTTTAACAATGCTCAAACAATTTATTCGCCTCATGATCAGGCTTAGTGATGAATATCGGGGAATATTTACCTGGCCGCTCGAAGACTTTTGTCTCGGTAAATATTCCCTGATATTCACTTCGCCTTCGGTGAATAATTGTTAAATATACGGCATTTCAATTTCAAAAAACGTTGCCGCCTATGCGACTGAACCGAAAAGGACCCTAGGTAGAAGTCACTGAAGCAGTTGACTGCATTATTATATTGGATTAGTTATGGCTCGTATCGGGTTTACAGGACGAACCTTCCTAGGCGAGCGGGAAGTGTTGAAAGAAACGTTTTTTTAAAGCTAACATATTTTTCGAAATTGTGAACTGAATCATAACTACTTCGCTTTTCTTTCCCTAAACCTATTAAAGACATGCAATTACTAGGTTATTGCTCGCTGTTATTTTATTACTATTACAGCGAATAATTTCCCGCTTCAGTGATTATTACCCAAACCACTTTCGGTTCAGTTGCGTAGGCTTGAGCCGGTCGACGGCAACGTTTTTTTAATCGACTGTAAACAAAATCTCAACGATACGTTGAACACAATACGAGGTTCATGGATAATATAAAAGTCGATCTTGTGGGCGTAATGTTTTCCCAATTCAGATCACGTGTCATTCCCAAGAGTATCATTTTTCGCTTTGTTTAACCGTTGCCCATGAGAAGACACATGAATATATAATCTTCAAAGGAAGAATCTTATTCTCAAGGGAATTACATGGGGTGTGTTATGGTAAATATAGCGCCAAGCTAAAATAGTCTATTGTGTATCTGCTGATGACTTGTGGCAGACATAAGCAGTTTGTTTTGATAAAATTTCCAATCAGTAAAAGCAGAAATTCCCCAGTTAAGGTTTTCTAACGAATAGAAATATTATCTTTAATTGCTGGTTTTTTGATCAATGGTAAAACAAATTTGTTTCCACATTAGATTGCACACGAGAATCTCATGTTGTTGTTGTACTCGTATCTGAAAAATTGATTGAACGAATGAATGAATAGTACAATCTTGCTTTGTTTCTTTCTTACTTATTGTTTTTCTTTCTTTCTTTCCGTATTCCTTTCGTCCCTCTATTGTTCCTTCCTTCTGTTATCCTATTCCTCTTTTCAAATTTTTCTTCCATTTTTTTCTTTCCATCATGGAGTAATTAAAATGCCTGTCACTAAATCCGTTCTTTTTCAGTGCACACGTACACAAGATGGAAGATTTCATCTCCCACACGCTACAACACGACGTCTGAGCAACATTCATGCGCTAAATCCTTAACCGAAAGTCGGTCACTGAATCAGGAAAGTCAGTTGATAACAATCTGATGGAATGGAATGTAAGACACTTTGTAGTTATTTTTTCTTCTTTACACTAGACATCAGATTAGTTATTCATTTGTTACTTCTCAGACAAGTTAATAATAATTATGATTCAGTATTTAATCGAATTTTATCAAAACTTGCCGAATTAAGGTACCCTGTTCTTTGGCCGGAACTGATTTTGACTTCACTTATTTGGTCAGAAAACTCATCGTTTTCGACGTCGACCGACTAACGCTACATATTGACCTTAGGTGAACGAAAAGCATCGCCAACATGAAGTACTTTACTTAAAATAAGTGGGAGAAGTAAGAAGTGATAACGGCTTATCTCCGATAGGCGACATAGTCCTTGAGCAAGATAGAGCGAAAATGGATTATATATTGGCAAAGACCACTAGTCGAGATTATTATTATTTTTCGCTTTAACTTATAAATTTAACTCCTATATAAGGACGTTACTAATTCATTTACAAAATTCTAAATGTTTCGCTCTCTTAAAGCCTTCAAACAACAACAGTTTTAAACTTTTAAGAGTCAAGTTAATATAAATAATTTTTTTGGCAAAATTTCTATTCAAATACTTTGAGGAAGTTACGAATTAGAGTGAGTCGTAAAAAAATAAAGATAACTGATTTCAAAAGGAATCGTGAAAAAGATACCTAGAAATTTTGTGTTAATTAAGAGAGAGATTCGCAAGAAAGCATCCCTGAAAGAGATTTAAGACCAGCTGTCGATCAGCGTAACAAAATTATACATTCTTGTTACACATCGCCCTTCGTGGAGTGGGTTTATAGTAAATATTGATATTTCAGGTTTACCTTACCTATTAAGAACTTGCCCCAAAAGAAATTTTATAGCTTCATGTCTGTGAACGGCTGTGAGAATCGATGGACTCGATGTAGCCAGTGCTATGCTTGTCAATCCTATTCAAAACAATTTTTGTCCTTGAGTCAATGAAGTAATTAAGGATTATAAACTTTAAATGACTTAACATCAAAGCATACAATTTCAAAGCATAAAACCCGAGATAAGTGTTCCATAATCATGCATCTGTGATCGTGAGTGAAATCATTTCTGATAAGTGTATAATGGCAATTACTACTTCGCTGTTTGGATTGACAATAAGATCCCACTCGATCCCACTATGAATCCCTCCGCATCCATCTCATGCCTAGTTTTCATTGGTCTGTCTTGGTATTGTCATTTTAGGCCAATTCAAAACACCATCTTGTATAATAACGTCACAAAGTATCAATAGGGAGTCCCATTTCAAGAATTCTGTTTTAATTCACTTCGATATATTCAAATGTTCACCGCGTCAATGAAACAACTTATAATATTATTCTCAAAGCCAAAGTTCAAAAAGTAGCATTAAAATCAATCAAATCAATTCTAATTGTGAAAAAAACCGAGATGAATGCCAAAAGAAAACTGGTATAATTTATGTGTATTTATACATGTAATTGGCGTTAAAAAATGCCCTTATTTTTCAATTCTTAGATTTTATTATATTTTCCATTTCCTCATCATGGTCGTCCTCCTTTTAAACAGGCTGAACAGGTATCCATTAATGTTTTTTTCGAAGACAGCTATATTACATTAATACTAAAGAGACAACCTTTATTGTACACGTTTGCCGTTAAGATTGCATGAATGCCATGTTTTTTCGGTCATCCATTGGGGAATTGTAAACATACAACTTGACGCTGCAGAATATATTAAAAAAAATATAGGATGTACCGTCGAGTAAAACTGGGCTCTTTTCATTCTACGATTAGTCGGTTCTCGAGTAGACTAGGAATCGATACGCCTCCTCGTGTGGAGAGCCTTGAGTAAGTCAGTGTGAGTGAGCAGAGCTGCTCGCTAGGATCTGAGCCAGTTGTGTTTGTCAGTTGCAGCAGCGTTTTTTGATAACCCACCAGCTAGCTATAAATAACTGAACGAAGAATGACAAAACTACATGTGGTTAATTGAACCTGTGGATATTTTAATTTAACAGTTTGAAATTACTTGGATGATTTATAGTTTATGCGTCCAAAACTTCTCATTCTCAGCCTTTCCGACCATTTATCAAAAATGTCATCAGAAGCGAGCGAGCCCAAGGGATTAAACTAACGAATTTCTGCAAATTCTTAAACTTAATTCTATAGACTACAATATAATATTTCTTTATTTAGAGTAAAAGTGCACTGATTCTATCAAAGGTGAGAAGGTGCTTGAAATTTATCTAACTGGTACTCGACGCTATCGTTTGGATAACTGCCTGATTATAGTAAACATCAGAAGTGTTTTGTTTTTTTCCTAGTAAAAATAAAATCAGTATAGGTATTGTGTACCTGTGAAGAAAACAGCGCCTTCTGTCAGTCACAAAAATATTTATCAAGATGCGAATAAATATTTCAAAAATTACAGTATAGTGATATTATTGGTGAGTTCTCGAGACTTGAAGGTATTATCAGTTTTCTCAGTTGAGATTGAGACGTCAAGCTGACAAAACCAAAAGTTTTTGAATGTATTTTTTGAATGTGTTATTACTAGCCCAATCTTGAGAGGTAACTAGCCAATCAGCGCGAAGTGAACACACACAAATTGCTGTTAGCGTTACCCCGTGGGGAAAAAATAGAGCCTCAAAGCTGGCCTGACAGGGGTAGTGTACTGCCTATGTTTTTTCTATCCAAAGAAAATCAAATAATATGTGGAGCAAGTCTTTAATAATTTGACATTTAACATGCATGATATAAAATAGTGATGCCTAAAGTATATATTCTTCTACTGAAAAACTTCGAGGCTCAAAACACTATGTAACTGAAATTTTCATTGAGGCCCTTCAAATCGAATATTTCCGTATTCTTGCCTAGAAGCATTTTTCATATTACGATTATATAGTATATATCAGTTTCCAGAAAGTCATAGTGATAGAGAACTAAGTATTTCTCATCAGCTTTTTTCATACTTAGAAGAAGACCAACATGGTACCCGTTTCATTGTCATCTATATCTCAAGTCAAGTCAAGTGGTTGCACCGATGTATACTGGTTTCCAATATTTGGCGCACCGTCACTCACACACCACTACATTAAATATTCTATAGATATTAAGACTGACAAACAAATTATGATGCGATTTCTAAGAGGTTTGAAATAGAAAATGTGTCCATTGAAACAGATCTTCTAAAAAAGCACTGAATTGAACTTTCGCCACCTAGTATGACTTCGATATATTCGAAAGAAATTTTTTGTATTAACTTTTAATTTTGTTTTGATCCAAAATAGTTTAATTTTTAGGTATCATGAAAATTTTCTTGCAAAATATTCGAGTTTTCAAAGCAAATGTAAAATAAAAAAAAGAAAAAAAAAAAAAAAGAAAAGAAAGATATGGCAGCAACAACAGTACAATCAGAAGTAATACTCACTTTGGTATGTAACTGCACAATGCTAAAGTGTAGCGATTTTTGTTATGTCTGCAGTTGCTAGTACCTGCTGTTGAAGTTGATGAATTTTATTATCAAATTTACTTTTGATTTATGTCAACGAACCAAAAAAATTGTTATCAGATCTCATGATACGATATTCTAAACCTTTAAAATAATCTTTTACGCATCAAAAATCAAGATTCGTTCAACATTCGTTAGTATGCTAACTTGAAGACATGTTTGGGTGTCGTGACCGATGGCGTGTGTTCAATAGCACTATGTTTAAATCAATCTTTCTGTATACGATTGGATATAGTGGAAGAGGGTTACTCTGACCCTACTTTCATCCTCAACTTATCTTATCATTCTTCCCTTCCGGATATCATCTTTAGGTATTTTCCATACCCAACCGGGATGGAGATATATAGGCACCCTAGAATCCTTCGTCTACACCCCCACGTACCTATAATACACGATGGGTCAACGAAATTAAATTTATGGCATTAGAACTCTCATATATGAATTTTAAAGATAAGCTGAGAAGGCTTGAAAATACTTTTTTAAACATATATTTTACTTCGTTATTTTCTGAATTTGATGTCTGACGCCTTTCTTTTGTTCAAAAGTGATTTAAGGTATTACTTGGCGCTCTCAGGGAGAGACAGAGCGTCACACATTTTCTCTAAGAAGAAAACAATAAAGTTGTAAAGGTGTGAAATATTAATCACCCAAGTATCTTTTATGTGCACCTTGAGCGGGAGTCCTGAAAGGAGGGGGGTTCAAATTTCGATTCCGTTCCGATCTTTTTAAATAGTTTTTTTGTACATCACATTTTATTTTCCCAGTCCCAAAAAGACGAATCCTTGCTCCCATTGTACCTATTCATATGAGGACCCTCATGAGCCAATTCTCTATATACGGAAAACTCTGCAGCTTTGCAGGCAGGGATGCCATGACTAAATAAAATGACAAAAGGTTTAGTTTCACACCCACTCCAAGATTGTTTGTTCCCTAAAACGAAATATTCTATCATAATATAAAATTAAACATTTAGATTATCTGATTGCAGAACAATAATAATAATTGCTTGGTTATGCCTATGTGATGGCTATCACTTGGTTCTGTACAATCATTACTGAAGTATAAGACAATTTTAACTATACATCTTTTTCATAATCGATATATATATACTCCTTCGCTAAGTGGTAACGAGCAAACCTATCTATACTCAGTACTATCTAATAAAAAAGATTGCGCTAGCTTTATTTTTTTGTAATCTAAATATTTTATCCATTCAAAACGTTCAAAGCTTACCTCAACAATACAGTAATAATATGGGGTGAATTTTATAAAGATTATTCAACTGGTCGTCTGCGTCAAGCTCGATTATTTTTTTCCTTGTGAATTTTTCCGGAATTTGCATAAGCATCGTTTTTATCTTTATTTGTCTGGTGTTTTAGTATGCATGCGGTTAAGCTCAGTGATTCGTAGGACAGCTCACTGTCGGGGGTCAACACAATATAATGTAGACTAGTGATCCTGTGCCAAGGATACTGAAATATAGATGGACGTCTTTAAGCAAAACATCCCCAAAATATACAGAATTCAAATGTAATCTGCCAGCAGTGGCCTGGAGGCTATGCCAGGATGCTTAATTTCAAATTTCAAATTGATAATTTAACTTCAAAACGTTTAGCACCCTTAGTGTTCCTTATGTCTAGATTTCGTAAAAGAATCATGAAATTTTAATTTGGTTTGAACTAAATTTCATAAAGGTTCAACCTTGAAATTGATAACTTAATAAAGATAAAAGCCACAGTAAAAACTTTATTCACACATAATTTATTCGATGGAAAACATTCAAAAACCTATTGAACGCCAAGCCTAGTTTTAACCTGCCAGATCGGCGGCATCCTCTTGGACGTCTCTGTAGGAGGATAGATCGGCGGGGGATTATAATATTGTCCATACTTATGAAGTTACAGGTACAGGTAAGTTATTATAATTGTTGTTATTATTAGATCTCGCCTTAAAATTTAGTTGACGCACTTTTTAACAAATTTGTATTTCATGCCAGATCGTACAACTAGGTCTATAACTGCATGATTTGATTTTGCTGCAAAATTCTTTGTTTTTCAACCTCATTTTCTTTGTCTTCTTCCTCACAAGGGAGGTAGAGCTAAGGAGGCGATCTATAATCTGGCGCACAAAGCATGATTTCCTGATCGCAAAAAGAAACAATCCCATCAACCACCGCACTCTCAATGCACTTCAGATTCGCAGCGGCTATCTTGAAAATATACTTAATATGTACGACTTTCTCGTCAATAAATCTTTCCTCGTTGAAAATAAGACATTCTAAATGACAAAAGTGAAGATTCTTAATGACAAAAGTGAGGATTCTTAATGACAAAAGTGAGGATTCTTAATGACAAAAGTGAGGATTTTACGTGAAAATGCTTAGGACCCTTGGAAACATCGTGGAAATGCTAAAGAGCAGCGGAAGATGCGAAAGTTTTAGTTAAAATTATGAATGCCGAATCGAAAAAGCTTTATGGTAGCCTTGTCCGCCATTTAGCACTTATTGACTGGGACCGAGGGAAATGCAGTGTGTCTTGTAGCGATGCTTACAAAGGTAAAGTCTAGGGAAAACATCGACGTCGAGGGAGCACAAAATACACTTTTTTTTGCGAGGTCCTAGTCAACTGATCTATGTTTTGTTCATACCAACTGTTAAAGAACACAAAGCAATACTTCGATTTTTTTTATTTATTTCGGAAAACCTAGAGAAACTTAAATTTCCGGGTGAAATCATTACAGGCATTGCTATTCCCATGGAGTGTAAACGTAATGTTGCCCGTTCCAAAAGGAAGTTATAACCATCACCTGACCTTGCACTCAGTTTACCTGAATAGAAGAGGAGAAGAATGGACTTTGATATTTGATATAATAACAGTTTGTTTCGCTTTGCTTTTACACCTAAATCCAAAATGGCGCACGGCCGTATGAAAACGAGGCATCCAGGGCCAAATTTACAAATTTACAGTATTTTCTCATAATTTGATGCTGCAAAATTGTCGCGTTCCTGAATGTAAGAAGAAAAGAAAGACAGAACAAGCGAACAAGTGTACACTTTGCGTTGACACCATATTATTTCTTTGCATTTTGACCTGGATACCTCGTTTTCATGTAACACACTCGGCCGTGTGCCATTTTGGACTCAGGCGTATACCCTTACTCATCAACAACTGGGAACGCAAAGATAGAATTTTTTTTGAAAAGTGATTCGCAATCTGATTGGGTAATTAGTTTTCCTCAGATTTGTACCGGGAATGCAAACTTGGTAATCAACTTTGGGAAACTTTGATCTAATTGCGAAGAAGGAAGTAATCCTCATATATTACTGATGAGAATATGTGGACCGCGTAGCACTTATGAAATACATGAAGATATAGAAATATGGATAAGTTATAGTGCTTGGGAACGAGGTTATTCCGGGCGAAAGACCCTTGGAATTAAATTCGGAAAAAATAATTTCCGACCTCGCTTATATATTACTGACTATACTTTGTATCGCATGACCAGATTTGATAGATGATGGACATTAGGTACAAGTTTAAAGTAAACCATGCATCTCATAAGTTTTAGTTTGATTTACTGTTTGATAAGTTGACACGATGTTATTTCCTGGCAAAGGCTAGGTCACATACACCGAAAGGACCTTCGAGTGTCAAGTTATAGAACGTGTGTCATGCATTATTGCCTCGTTCTATTGTTTTAATCCAATAGCTCCTTTCAGTCTATGTGAACTTATACTTTATCATTTCCCCCAGCTTCCTGTGCCAGAGGTTATTATTGTACAGTTTCTTACCGTTTTATCAATGTTTTTTTCTTAAAACTTTCAATGATTAAAACTGACTTTTTATCTTTAGTCTCAACATAATTCCCTTCATTTCGTTATCAACATTCAATATTCGAAGCTAATTTTTCACGATTGTCTGTTTTACATCTTTACGACTAAACCTTCGAGTAAGTCATGCCACATGTACCCCACAAAATGGTATTAGGTCCGTTGGTACTCGTTCCTTTGCTTGAACATCACCGTTTTCAATTTCCTAGGGAAACCCATATAGCATCTGCTTATTCAAAATCATACGCAGTTACTTCACTTTGAGAATAAGTAATCTTGGGGTCCCTGTGGCTTTATTCAAATTCCACTTAGGATTTGTAATCAATATGATAAATTTAGCAAGTTATGTGAAAACCGTTACGATTCCGAGGATAAATTACTCTTAAACGAGCGAAAATTATTAAATTATTAGAGAGGAAAGACTTCATTATCGATAAAATGCTTGTTTCAGTCTTGACTTTGATGATCTCACCAAGCCTCCATTAAGAGTCAATATCAGCGAGTTGGTGTTTGTTAACGTATATTTCCGCTTCTTGAAGTACAGAGAAAGATTACTCCATGAAAAAATAAATGACCTAGTTTTATTACCAAATTAAGCTTTTAATCAAATTTGTGAAACATATCTGGGTTTGTTATGACAGCACCAAATATATTTCTTCTTTATTTGTTTCATTCTATTGACAAATCGGCGAGAAGACGGAATAAAGACAAGCTTCTCTATTATAGATCAACTAAAAGTACACTTTTACCAAGAAAGGGTGAAGGATCTATGATTTCATTTTGGAAACCTCTTCAGAAATGAAATATATGGAAGAAAAGCGAGAGTTTGGCGGTCTGATAATTCTGGGTTTAGATAAATCTTATTTGACATTTCGATGATAATGTCTCAGTTAGTATTAAAAAAATCATAACTTGTGTGATTAAAAAAGAATAAAATCAAAACAGTTAAAGGGATATTTATCTGATTTGAAATTCTCAGGAAACCACAGGAGGCTTGCCATTAATATACAAAGTAACAAAGTTTTTTTTTTCTCGATAGACATCTAGAATTTCGCTGTCTAAAATGGATTTAAAGATCGTTGGGAATAAGCACGCATAGAACATTCATAATATACATCTATTCTAATAAAAAAGACTCAGTACATGTTTAAAAAAAGAAGAAGAAAAGAGAAGTGAAAGCGAGAGAATTGGAGAAAAAAACAACAAAAAACAAACAAATAAACAAAAGAAAAACAAAAAACAAAGCAAAACAGAAGAGGAATAAGAGGAAAAAAAGGAATTAAATGAAACTTTGGGATGAAAATGCACTGTGAAAATGATATGGCGAGAATGTATACGTACATTTGCACGCCGTGCATCCTCACATTTGCCTCATCAAAAATAGCGACAAATAAACATATCTCAAGAACATTAAATTACTGCCATCGAGAATCATGTACACACTAAATACAATATGCGATTATGAATAATAAGGTCTATGTTCGGCATCTATACTATACCGTCTAGCTTCACTATTAATAAATGTTCTAATTTCAACAAATGTATTCTATTAATACTCTTTTAGATTGCTTGCACTTATTTGGAAAAAATGTGCGACATTACACCTGCACATGACTGGAATTTCCCTTAAAGATTCTGAACTCAATCTGTCCGGCACCTTGGCTTATCTAAGGAGGTCATAAAGGAGGACACAGGTGTTTGTTTGCAAATGTTTTTTTTCACTTCGACTGTCAAATCTTGCCTTCATTAAGGATATATGTTTGCTTACTATCCTGTGGCTCTGCGTGATGGTAGGTTTATTATTTTCTCTTGTCTGTGCTGGAATAATTACAGTGTTATTGACGTGACAAAAGAAAGTATTTGCTGAACATTTGATTGATGACTTTGGATTTTGAAGAAGGAGAAGAAGAAAACGACTTCAATCTCAACTACAAGAGAGATTTGAAGTGCATATCGACCTGTCTCTTGAAAAAAAAGTTTAATTAAGAAACATTTTCTAAACGAAAACAAACCATTCGTTGAATTTGCATCTTCTGTTGCTCGCAACAAGAGACAACACTAGTTCGTTGTCGCGTTTCTAACTGTACCGTGAATATTCAAATTAAGAGAAGTAACGTATTGTAAACTTTCTTATGGAGCATTTGGGGAGAAATTGGTCGGAAAATGGAACGGTTCTTTCAGATTTGTCTTCGCTGTTTGAAGAGGAAGCCAGCGTTCTGAAAAACTTGAGGATTATGTCGTATGCTGTGATATGTATTATTGGCACGCTTGGAAACGTGCTTGTTTTACTGACTACCCGAAAAAGACGCATGAGGACAGTCACTAATCTATTTATTGCAAATCTTGCATTGGCTGATTTAGCAGTTTGTATTCTTGCCATTCCAATATCTGTGGCATACTCGAGTCTGGGATACTGGCCATTTGGTACAATGCTTTGCAAAACAATGCCATATCTACAAGGAATAACGGTGTCAGCCTCAATAGGCACACTAGTGGCCATCGCCTGCGATCGTTTCATCGTTATCGTGTATCCCACCATCAAAAAACTCAGAGTCTCTCAAACGTGGATCGCTATCGCAGTTATCTGGGTCCTCTCGGCACTAGTGTCCATCCCCGTAAACCTGCATAGCGAAGTGGTGAGCGATGATATTGATGGTGTGAAAATGGCGTTTTGCATGGAAGTGTGGTCATCCCATGTGGCAAGGAATACATACTCCCTTATTGTGTTCTTAGTTTTGTTCCTTCTACCAATTGGCGTCATGTCAGCCATGTATCTGGGAATCATAATTAAATTTAAAAAGCTCCAGCCAACCCAAGAAGGTAATCAAATTTAATTCCAACTCGATTAGGAGTTTTATTTTTCTTAATTTAATATTCTTCGATAATTTGTTTTCAAAAATATGCGAAAATATATTCTATTTTCCATTAGAAATATGGATGGCGATTATTTTTCTTTTTAGCAATATAACTCTATAGGAAACGATTAAAATTTTTAGGTCATGCTGTTTAACTTTATTTTCAAAACCTGTTCTTCGCATGTGTATCAAAAACCTTGATGAATATTAAAAAGCTCACTTTTACAGTCTATAAAAGTGTTGACCCTATTATAGAGTCACAGTCTTAATTGTTCAATTCGATCCAAGAATGATCGCCGATATGACTATCCATAGCTAATTCTCTGCCAGAGCCAAATGCCCTCAATTTAGTCTATCAATAAAGCTTACCGACCAAAAAGCATCATTCGAAATACAAAGATAATCCTAGTCTATTCTTAAGTTACGTCCTCAAATTAGCCTAAGGTGTTGAAAATCATAAAAGCATACACTTCCATTTTCACCCTTTGTATTGGCGTGAAAAAAAGGTAGCTGGAAACCATGCTTAAAGGTTCTTTATTCATGATATTTCACGTTAAAGGTTGCATTATACATAATTGAATAGTATTGGGCATAAATCGCACTTTGTCTATAATACTAAGATCGTGCGGCAAGTTCAAAAAGAGATCAAAGTAATTTATAAAGGAATCTATTCTTGAAAAGCCCTTAAGAGGTATTGTTTTGTTGTATTTGAATGAGATGTCTGCCCCGCGGGTTTATATTTTAGGTGTATTACTCAATAATACTCGGAGAAGGTACTTCGAACTTTGTAAGAGATGCTAAGATATGCTCCTTGCTTTCGTGTTTGTGCCGCTCGTAAAAGGAAATTCTATCGATAAAATGGAAGCAACGAAATAAATAATTCATCAGTGAGGAAGTGTAAATGACACATTTGAGATAGAAGGTAAAAGAGATGACAGATTCGAATTCTTGATATTTATTTTGTAGTAGAAATTCAATCAAGGTTGAATAGATTAATAGTGTCGAGTCTATAAATGTCCACCCCGTCCGGAATCTTTAGACAAATAACACGCAAAACGCTCAAACAAATATATTATTCCAATGTAATAAAGACGTTTGCAATATTTGAGCCATTTCAAACGCCCCTTTTGGAAATATTCGAAAAATATACATTATACATTCTGAAAGGAAATTAATTTTTTGGCAATTCAAGATGTTTTGGAGTATTTTAGTAGATGTCGGATAACAAACGTTGCCGGAATATATTTTTGATGAACGAACGCTAGAGACCAAACAGTCTAGAAATTTCTATATCCGGGATTTTCTTAAACCGACTTTGTCAAGACTCAATATCAGTTGAATAGTTGGCAGAATTTGGCAATCTTAGTTTTAAATTATAGCAGCCGGCTTGTATTCAGTTTTTCTAGTTAAACGTTCAGAGCGCTTGTCAGTGTTTTCAGCTAACAGTTTGACTAGCTATAGGATCCTGTATATGATCATGACATGTCTAGCCAGTAATGAATACAATAGAAGTTGATGTACTCAAATAGACTCTTCCTTGACATTTTCTGCGGCGTTTCCAAAATTACAAGTTTGGCTAAAACATTCTTACCAGCTTCTAGGCTTATCTACATACATTGAATTTATATTTAAAATTAAGACACCAAATTCTACCAAACTTTGCCTAGTGCGGCCAGCTTTCTGAAAGGTCCTTTTCCGGGAGATTCAATTAAATCAGAAAACCCAAAACATTAAAATTCAATTTGATATGTGAGTAACCCCTCCAGTGCTCCAGGTCTTGGATAAACCGGATTCGATAGAATTGTCGTTTGATTTCGGTTTTTGCTTCGAGTGTGAAATGCAAGGGTAAAATAGATTTTATTCTTCGTAGCCAGCTAGTTCGAATGCAAATCATTTTCTTTCCAACCGCTTCAATACAATAAATACAAACATCGAGCTAGGACATTTCAATCATTCTCTATGTTACAGTCTCACCGTCTACATATACCTTTATTACAAATGCATTTGCATGATCGTGTTATAATTATATGATAATAACTTAATGGCTCCTTCTACACAATCTCAATGTTCTAGACTTTTCAGTAATGCGAGACTGATATGCTGTCTTGACGAGCCTAGATACCTCACGTTTACATCTTTTGGCTATTATCCATTTCTTCTCACTTCAATATCAGTGCACCTTTGATAAAAGTTGAAAATCAATCAAAAGATAATCTTATAATCCCAACAAACGTATTCAGACCGGCTCCGGTCAAGCAATAGGCCCTTTGCAGCTAGTGGTCACGTGCTTGGATACCGCTTAGCAACACAAAACTGGAGAGCAAGCCTTCCAGTAAACAAAAGTTGTA